ACCACAGTACTTCTGTAAGGTCAGCAACAATGCAGTCAATCCAACAAAAATGAAACTGAAATGAAATCACTCCAACGGTATGGCAGTGATTGAAAGACAAAAGAAAACTAGTCAACCCAACGGTATGGTGATGACAAAAAGAAACAAAGAAAAAAAAGACACCTCTTCAAACCTTCCTTCAACAACAATGCCTTGTAACAATCGTATCTCGAAAGAGTTGTGTGGAATTACAGCAATCAACCCCCTCAGCACAAACAGGTAGAATCAAAGGTCAAGACTAATCAATGCTCAGTAGAACTCTTAGCTCACTGTTGAACCTGCTGCCAAGGAACTCACGATGAGTATTAAACAGAATCAGGAACGGACGTCCTTGGTTTCAGTACCAAGTCCCCTATTCAACAACTAAAGTCTAGCAGACAAGGAAGATCCTGGCTCAGTATCACTACTCAGATGAGTGAGGTCAAGCGTTACTGTCAATCCCTAAAGTCTCCCCACTAAACTATTCGGAGTCTAGATGGACGAAAGAGACAACACAAAAGCTTCTGAAAATATGAATGAAAGCTTAGCACTGAAACTTGAAAGAGAAGAAAGAGAGAGGATCACAGAGAGAGAGAAGAGAGAGAAAGAGAGAAAGAACGAAAAAAAAAGAGAAAAACAAAAGAGTGACAGAAAAGAAAGACAAAGAAAGAAAGAATGAAAGAATGAAAGAATGAAAGAATGAAAGAAAAGAAAGAGAAAAAGAGACAGAAGAAAACTAGAAAATCAAAGAAGAAAAATCAAAAAAAAAAAAAAGTTCTGTCGGTCGTTGAGCACAGTGAGCTCAAGGTCTTGGTCGTCGTTGGTGGTGATGAGCTAAGGGTGTTGCTGAATGCTGATGCTGATGAGCTTAGGGGCTTGCTGGTTACTGAAAGTTGCTGGCTGACTACTGGTTACAATGACTTTGCTGAAGGTACTTGACAGCCCTGGTCACTGTTGTTGACAATGATCACACTTCACACACAATTTTATTCTGAAAGTGGGGCTTAAAAGCTCTCTTCTTTGGGCAAAAATTTGGGTCTTATATACAAAAAAAGGGTGGCTGTGCTACGTTTTTCCCGCCATCTATGAGGGGTGGGCTTAGTCAGCGGTACCAAAAATCATTTTGCAGGGGTTGCTTATGTTGCACCAAATGAGACCATAATTAGTCAGCATTAGTCAGCATGCTTGGGCTGAGTGTTCTGTCATCACTTGATTTGGATCAAAAGTCACCTGACTTAAGATCATGTGATTTAGCATCATGTGACTGAAGGGTCATGTGACAGGCTGATTGTGCACTGCAAGAGAAATATTCATGATCATTGGTGTTCCGTTCTGATGTCACTTTGTTGAATGAGAAAATGACGCGAGGCATGTATTTAGGGTTTTGAGGAAGTTTTCCCAGGGTAACCCATGCGAGAACTATTTTTCACAGTCACCTGACATGTGTGGGATTCAGCCTGAGTCATTGTTGAGGATGACTAAGCAAAATTCATCGCAGAATTAAATATACAAAAATATTCAGCCTGTCTGAGTTCCATTGAAAAGATGAAATGACATATTTGTCTGAGCTGCATTCTGGCTTTAGAATAGAGGGAAATGGTTTCGTAGTGATTTCTAGGGTATTAGGCTCATGGGAGAGCATTAGTCATCCATGCACCGAACCAGTTTGGTGCAGGTCAGCGGGAGGGACCAAATAAGTGCCAAGCGGAGGAGGGGGGGATGAAAAGTGTCGGGAGGAAGATCTGCATGCCTCTGCGAAGATGCAAGATCAAGTGGAGGGTGGACATCCTTCTGGATGTTGTAGTCGACGGCCATCTTCGAGCTGCTTTCCAGCAAAGGTGAGACATTGCTGGTCAGTTGGGATGCCCTGCTTGTCCTGGATCTTTGCCTTCACGTTGTTGATGGTGTCTGATGACTCCATCTCCAATGTGAGGGTGCCTCCGTGGAGACAGATAAGGAGGCAGAAGGTGGACAGGCTGTTTGCCAGTAAGGGCGAGGCGCCGCTGGTCAGGTGGGATGCATGTGGAATCTGGATTATAATAGATTTCCTATAAAATAAAAGTAAATGTTAGTTAACTACACACAAAAATGACTTACATTGGGTGGATGGCACCCGAAAATTTGATGGTGGCCTTCTCGGCGCTGACCTGCACCAAACCGGTTCGGTGCATGGACGACCAATACTCTCTCATGAGTCATATACCCTGAAATACCACTATGAAACCCTTTTCCCTTTTTATCTGAAGTTGGACTGAGGCTAAGGGAATATTTTTTGCTTTTCTTTTTATTTTTTCAAGTTTATATGCCAGCAGCCTGAATATTTTAGTACATTTAATTCTGCGATGAGTTTTGCTTAGTCAGCCATGGTGATGACCCAGACAAAATCCCACACATGTCAGGTGACTGTGAAAAATATTTCCCACATATGTTGTCCTGGAAAAACATTAGTAAACCCCTAAATACTAGGCTCGCGTCATTCTCACCCTTCAAACAAAGCAAAGCAAAGACAGCCACGCACAGGATTCATATCAGGTGACACTTCTTACTCTCCTTCTGGATTTGTCATCAGGGGTTGGACAGGTCACATGACTTAGCAAATACCCAATGACTCACTATGACTCACTCTAGATACTTACTATGACTCACTATGACTCACTATGACTCACCTTGCACATATGACTCATTATGACTCTTGATGACTCTTGAATACACTAGTAGCACAGCCACATTTATTGTGTATATAATGACCTCAGTTTTTGAAATAAAAAAAGCAGATACCAGCAGGTAGTAGGGTGTTTCTCAGCCCAACTAACACTAAGTTGTGAAGTAAGGTGTGATAAGTGTCAGTACCAGTGTCAAGAACTGTTTCAAGACTGAGAGGAACACTCTCAAGAGACAGTAATACTGCAAGCTCATCATACTGAACGACCCGCTGTGAGCTCACTGTGTGCAACAACCAGCAAGCAAGGTACAGCCACACTTTTATTCTGATTTCTATTATTCTTTTTCTTTTCTTTTACTTTCACTGACCTTTGGTGTTCTTTGTGCAAAAAATACTGATCCAAAATATTCATGTTGTCTCTACGTCCACCTAAGACTCAGAAGTAGCATAGTGGGGAGACTTTAGGAATTGATAGTGAAGCTTGACCTCACTCATCTGAGTAGTGATACTGAGCCAAGATATTCTGTGCCTGCTAGGCTTTAGCCGTTGAAGAGGGGACTTGGTAGTAAACCCAAGGACGTCCGTTCCTGAGTCTGTTTGAATACTCAAAGAAGAGTTCCTTGACAGCAGGTTCAATATTGAGCTAAGAGTTCTACAATAAAGCATTTGACTAGTCTTGACCTTTGATTCTACCTGTTTTGTGCTGAGGGAGTTTATCATTGTAATTCCGCACCATTTCTTTTGGAGTATAGTTGGCACGAGGCACTGTTGTTGAAAGGGAACTTGAGGAAGAAACCCATATATTCTTTTGGTCATCGCCATACTGTCGGGCTGACCATTGTTTGTTTGTTTTCCTGTCAAGTCCAAAGATTGGATTGACCATCGTATTACTGATCTTGCAGAAGTATCCTTAGCTGAACATACTTTGGGTAGTATACAACTAGCCACCCACGAACGACCACGTTATCAGTCATTGGTATTTGTCTGAATCGCTGACCGTGGAGATATTTGTTTTATAGGTGTTTATCTATAGATCATCTATCTAAGAAGACAGCGCTGTGGATGGGCATCGAGGTTCGAGGGTGAGGTCGACAACGACAACGACAACAGCATGCTCAGTGCAAGACAAAACATCCGAGAAGCCATTGTAAAAAGTTGTGGAAAGCATATTACACATTGGCCGGATAAGGTTCATCAAGCCTTATTTGCAGAGAATGTGACAACTAGCCATGTCACTGGATTTTCACCATTCTACCTATTGCATGGAGTGCATCCAATCTTACCATTTGACCTAGTCGAAGCAACATTTATGGTTGATGGTTTTCATGCCAATATGGATCCAGTTGACTTCTTATCCATCAGGAAATCGGCCATGAGGTGATTTTAATAGATATTTCTGGCAAAATGAAATCAATTATCGACATATTATATCCAAATACATAGTATTATCTAAACACCAGCATAATGATGCTGAATGACAAGCGATTGCAAGAAACCTCTAATATTGATGAAGTCATGTATATCTCACAAATATGATATTTTGTAGATAAACTATTGAAGGGATTCCAGCATCACTCCACAAAAACGGTCATCTGCTGCATTGGGTTCACCTTGCGATGGTTGTTTGCAAAGCTACATAATATTTTTGTAATATTGATGAAGTCACGCAAATATGATATTTTGTAGATAAACTATTGAAGGGATTCCAGCATCGCTCCACAAAAACGGTCACCTGCTGCATTGGGTTCACCTTGCGATGGTTGTTTGCAAAGCTACATAATATTTTTGTAATATTGATACAAAATAGTCATTGCTGGCAGTTGTGACACGTCCAGGGTAATGTCTTGTAAATTCATCACAGCCCTCCGGGCAACCTTCTTAACTATATAAGTCTCGCAGGGCCACATCCGTGGCACTGGGGCCCGCTACCTTATTATATAAACAGTTCTCGGTCTTACATTCATGCGAATTTATGGGTAAGTATGCGTCTGTCCTCTTTGTTAGTTTCCTGTCGGTTGTCTATCACTACTTTTTCAGACTACGAGACTTGACATAGTTCATCACTGGATTCTCAAGGCCCGCAATATTTTACTCGAAACTGTCAGATGATGTTGAAACCGATTCCACGACAGTTTTGTACGTTTCGTGTTGAAGGATGTCTTTATGAAAATTATGGAAGACGACCTGCGTAATAGTGTGGATCAAATGCAAGGCAAGCGTACCGTGGCTCACTCAGATGTAGTGGATATTCGGGGAGGCTCGGGATAAGTGACAGCGACGCTCTCCAAACGAAAGCATTCGATTTTCGCACAAGTGAATTCTAAAAAGCTTTAGAGGTGCGAGCTAGATCGAGGAGGTCAAGCGGTTCCAGGAATCCGACAATTTGTTGCGATAGGTAATGTTTGAGCTGCATATATATGCGCAGGGAGTAAAACTTACATCGAAAAGAACATCCAAGCTGATGATGGGTAAGAGGGAGAGCCCTCCCTTCCTGACTCTCGACGTAACTGGTTTAGTGTCCTGAACTTCTACTGGTAGGGATTCTGAGCCTTGGGCATCTTCATGTCTGGGTCTCTTCATTAAGTCTGTGACAAAAAGAACATCAGCAAAGTATAAATGTAGTCAGCAGCGCCAACTCACGCAAGTGAAGTCACTTGGGAGACGTCATTGAAAAGGGTGTCACAGAGCCGTGGACCGCCGGGGGACAGGGCATCCTTGGAATAGTACTCAGCGTACTCCGCTGGGTAACTATACATTGCTGATCAAGGATAAGAACGGTCTTCTAAAGAAAACTATAGAAGGGAGACAAAACGCGCCTGTATGAAGCTTGTGGGCATAATACCTCCTTGATATACTTGCTTGCCATCATTATCCCCCCTGGTAATCATTGTGATACTCGAGCTCCGATAAAGACGTGGTATCGACCGGCGGCAAAATAGGCGGTGCAGGAGTAAGGGAAGGAAATCGTACAAGGCGGCAAGGGTAGCCATACTGCGAGAGACGGTGACCAATGGTAGGGATGATGAAAACCCTGAATGATGTGACGATCCGGAAGCACTGGTGGACTCATGACAGGTGCGACAGATTGTTGAGCGACGAAGCTGGAGATGGCGTGGGGACAGGTGTGAGTTCTTGAGGTTGTGGGAGCACGGGTACTGTAGATCGCTTAAGCATGCATTGCCTGTCAGACTGGACACCAGGCTTCGTCGAAGTATCCATGAGTGGTTGAAAGGAAGTGCGGGGAAGGCGTAAGGGCCTGGGCTCGACCTAAGCCGGCGGAGGAGAGTTAACGGCATGGCGAGGCGGTGTGCCAGCAATGGACGCCGATTGAGTGTCATCGTGATCATAATGACTAAGATGGTCGACATGGGTAGTAAGCATCTGCGTTTGATTTATCGACTGAGCGTGGTAACTGTCGAGTACTATCATCATATTGTGGCCAGTATGAATCTGATCGAACAGATACGTGTGACTCTCAGTAGCTTTGACCACTAGAGTAAGGATGATAAGTATCACCACGAACAGGAGGATACACTGGCAACTTCTGGTGAGAGTAATCTCGTGCAGGACGGGTACAATAATATGGAAACCTTGGACTTGGGGCCACCAACCTATATACGATGATGAGAGGAAATATTAAGTGACGTGCAAATGGACAAACATTTCGTATTGGCCGGATCGATCAATCAATCGATCAATTCCGGGAGTCTGATGCGGCTCGAACATTCGGTTTGCCATGTATCTCTGCGAAGTTTTTCCCATAGAGAATCCTCGATCTTTTCAAGACGACTTCCACCGGGAACCGGAACCCCAGAAGTGTGGTTCCATAGAATGAGACCGGTCGAAACGATCTTGGGATGGACTGCGGCTGTTGTAGCATTCTAGTCTTCATGTATTTGGCCTGTAAAGGTTCGGATGAATATCACTACACCTGAATTCTGGCTAAATGAGGGTGGTCAAGAAGCATTGCATAGTGCTCACCTTTAGGCCTTCATTCAAGTCAATAGTGGCGGTCGGTTCAAACGCAAGGCACACGCAATGTGCAAAAGGACACTGGTAGAATCAAAGATCGTGTTCGTGTTTTTGCTCCCTACTCGGTTCTGTAAGCTAATGGTAAGTTGTTGTTATTGGATTGCACCACTTACACAGTAGGCCAATGCGTTGAAGATGAATTGCCCGACAAAAGTCAGTCGATGGCCCAGGTAGCGGTTTTGACAGGTGGCGAACAGGTACGGACAGGAGCCCTACAAGGACCAAAATTTGATGAGACGCTGAACGGGAACTAAATCAATAAATCATCAAATGCCAAGCTCGTCCACACACTATAACAATAAGGGTGTCAATCCGACTGTACCAAAGTCGCAGGTGCTATCTAGCCCACCGGAAGTCAATGGTGTGTTGAATCCTACTCACTTCGAGATCGTTCAGCTGAAGAGCAGAAGGCCTTTACCGCATAAGGTTGAACATCAGAGCCACCATAAAACATTCTGATGAATGCTCAGGTCACATTGGCAGCTGAAGGAGACCACCACCCTAAGCTTCCAGTCGTGCATCGAAGTGCCGAGAGCACTAGAAGGTTATTTCAGTGCAAGGAATACTTCCAAGGCAAAATCCTTTGCAAGCTTAGTGGGGTGTCCACCATACGATGTGTCTATAATCGGGGAGCTTTGCAAGGAAATCTATGTGTTCCTCCGGAATTCTATGCAGTTGAAATGAATCATCACGAACTAACAAAGATAGTACGAACCGGGGAGCAGGTCAAGTTACTAGGCCAATCTGATATGGGAACATCTCACAGAACTCTACTCGGAGCATGTAGTCATCAAATTCATCCCAGAGCGCAATGATGAACTTACATGCATCCAACTAGCACCTAGTGGGCCAAGGTAGATAAGACGATTCGAAATTTTTGCCAATCTTCCCACACACTGATCAGTGATGAGTCAATCATTGCATACGCACGCGAATGAATTCTTGATCATATACTGCAGCTGGTAGCTTTCTACTAGAATGGTCACCTGCTACCTCATCTTTTCGTTTAAAAATGCCATATGCCGGATCTAGTGATTTACATTGTACAATTGGAATCACGCAGCCTCCACATGCGTTGCTCACCTGCCTCCAAGGAACACAAGCACATTCTCCAACGTATACTCCTTGACACGAACATATGAGAGTGAGGAACACCATGGAAGTAGTGGCAGGCAAGACAGGTTTTAACCAATTAACCAAACAAGAACCAGATAGCATTTGTGAGTACAGGATTTCGTGGGAATGCATAAACCTACACACTTATATATGAGGACAATAAAGAGAATAATTTACGGAGGTCAGGGCTAAGGCAGCTTGCGCAAGGGCCAAAAAAATACAGTCCCATGCAAAAAAATATGCAGATGTCAGTGGGAAATTCCAGTGTCACTTAATGTCGAGGTCTTCGCAGTCTTCGTAATCTTCGTAATCTTCATAGTCTCCACAGCTTTCCTCTGTGCCGTCTTCGATGTCCTCGTTGTAGTAGTGCATTTCCTTACACAGAGGTCGCAGAATGTTTGGATTTGAAGATGTTGATGAACCTGCAGTATTATTAGCAAGGAAGGGAGCATGATCAGTCGTACTCACTGGTATTAGAGAGGTTGTACCCATGCAAATTATCAATGGCCATCGTATATAACGCTATCTCGGCGTGGGCACGGCGTCTCTTGGCCTGCAAGATGAGCAAATATAGCCCAAGGTTGCGCAGATAGGCATTGCTACGTCTGGTAGCCAGGGATGTCACCATCAGCTCCGCCTGCATAGTCAGTTCCTGCTTGAATGACTGGTAAAAGGCTTCTTGGACGTCAGCGGTGACCCATGTACTCGACAGGGGCAATGAGGGGCCAATACACTGTGAACAGTCAGTGAGAGTAACTAAGCCAACTGTCAGAGTACTGACATTCAAATTGACAGATGTTGATCTTCCTTCCTGCGAGGTGGAATCACTGCGTACTGAAGAGATAGAGCGGTGTAGAGGTGATAATGCCTCCATCAAAGAAGTTGCAGTTGGGACGAGGCGGGCATCGTTCTTCATCAGCCAAATTTCACACCTCCCTCGTGCTGCTATTGAGCAGGCCAATGGCGTGCAAGGTAGAGGTGCATAGTCTGTAGGAGCAACCGTCTGCCTTGAGGGAGGCCTGATGGCATGCTTGGATCGAGCTCCCAGGCGTGCTATATAGTAAGAGGGTTCAGACTACACATCCGCACTCAGACAAAAAGAGGCTCACACAACCAGTGTTGCTCTAAGACTTCGATAGCCTGGGTGTACAAAGACACTTCCATCTGGCATCGTTTCCTCCTCTCTTCTAAAAGAATTCGTTCTACGGCTGCATGTTTTCCGCTATTCTCGTTAGTACATACGCTCTGATGCCTTCGCAACATTTCCTCTTGTTTCGCCTCTATGCTGCGCTCCCCAATTATTTCCCAAAGATCGCCAGGATAAACTCGTTCTTTGAGCAAGAACGAAAGAACGTATAGTTCAGTCTGGAGCTACATGAAAATATTTAGTAAAGATCAGGGTTACCAAAAAAAAAACCACTGACCTTCTGATTTGCTATGAGTCCTATGTAGGCATCCAGGAATTCACTGCCTAGTATGTTCGAAAGTGGAAAAATGCTCGCCCAAGCAGTTGAGTGATCGAATAATTCTGCTGAAAGACACATCTTGTATGGGTGCGACTATTTTATGTAGTGGCGAGCGGGCTTGACTGTGGGAGTACTATTTATGTGTAAGCGGTAGTTTAATCGTTGATTCCAAGCAATCGCGGAGCTGACCATGAGAAGAGGTACTTTGCAATTGACAGAGTCGACACGACATCTCATATTCCTTTTAGGGATGGCCACCAAACAAGCGGTGGCCATCAAAAAACAGACGATGGCCATCAAATGGCCATCAAATGTCAAATGGTCATCAAATCAGCCTTCTTCCGTCCACAACCTCCAAGTCATGCAAGTAGGTTGCGCCATTCTATTTTCACAGGAATTCCAGCATGTCAGTGACATCGACGTTGAGGATTACTAATCGTCACTGCCGAGTTCAAGCGCTCAAGTCGGAAAGGTGGTTGTTGGCACGCACGAACGCGAATACTAGATAGGCCTGGGGCTGATTGCTGCATGTTGGTGACTTTGCTGTCTGTGCTGTTCAATAGTGTCTCGCATGTCATCCAAATAGATCGTTACTACACATTCCAGACTGCATAGGGGAAAATGGTATATTAACAGCTGAAACCTTGCAAGGATTCACATATGATTAGTGGAGAATGCGGAAATGTTTAAGCTAACACCTCGCACGATGGGCCGTGCGCACTGCGCGCCGTGGCTGTGGGATGGCAGCGAGATTTCATCAGAATTTGCTGATTCCCACCTCCATCAACAAGTATCATATCAATATTAATCTAGGCTATGCTGACTGTACTAATACTAAGCAATAATGATCCTCCTGTGAGTCAACCTTCTCGCTTTTTCATACCTTCCGAACAGATGTGGCGCCTCATTGCTGGCCTCACCCCGACTCGTTTGCATTCCTTGCAGCGGCTAAACAAAATCTGGAACTCCGTGGTAGTAATACCATTGCCAGCAGAGGAATCGAGTCTGTTCAGCAATTCGCTTTGCTCTTTGTAAGTCCACTCTAGTTGAATAGGCAAGGCTTGCCGTTCTTTATCCATGAGTTCAAATCCAGTGCTGCAGTGAAGGAAGGAGGGACGCTCATACCTCTTCGAGGATAGCGGAAGGTGGCTATAGTTGGTAGCCTGAAGTATGTGTCGATTTTCACTAGGCGATGTTCACTCTTAAGTATGTGATCATCTTGAGCGTGAAGAATGCTAAGAATGCTAACCTCGGTATCCGCATTCATCAGATGCGCATCTTGCGGTCCAGTCAAACTTCTCGGTGCTCTTATTCCACCAAGAGTACACTGCGCACTCTACGTACACCCTCCTTCCACTACCATCGGTGCATAGGCAGCATGGGTATCTCAATCCATATCCTTCGTGGTGGATCTCTAGGTTGAAAGGGGGGATCCTCTTTCCATCACCGTCGACAGGCCTGCGTTTTCGTGGAGCAGTGTCATGGGTCAAAATTTGCACAGAATTCGGGTGCGTCTCACCACCACCATTCAATCATGGATCTTGAGGTGCTGTCGTAGTGTAGTAGGGCAGAGCGGCAGGTCATAGCCTCCGCAATCAATTTGGCTAACCTTTGAGCGGTTTCATGACAATCAGGTGGGGCAGTGATGGTAGACGAAGGTGAAGACGGGGCTTCCATTATATGGTCCGGTGCAGCGAATACACGGTATCTACTCTGCTTTTATGAGACCGCGACATGTATTAACATTACAGTCTCCCTAGCCTCTCCTGCCACATAAAATGTCCCTGCCCGCCACCTTCACTCTGCTGCCAAAAGTTCTAGCCTGTGGGAATCCGGGGATGTGATGGCCGTTCGGTAATCGGGCTGGCCATCACAAGTGCCCACCATATTATGTTATGCTGCCGAAGTCGTCAGTCCTTCCACCTATCCTTCAAAATTGGACTGAACCGTATTCCTACACCTTCAGCTCCCCCTCATGGATTGGGCAGGTTCATCACCGACTCCAACCCCCTTCAGATGTGCCTGCACTCGCGAGTTCACGCAGGAGAGTGCCTACACAAAACATCAGGGCTCTTGCACCAAGGGCAAGAAACGATTGTTCTCTGCCTTATCCAAAGCGAAGCATCTTTTGGGCTCCGCAAAGCGGTCACGAGTGAACCACAGCCTCGATAAACATTTTACTGGCCCTAGCACAGCTCCGTCGAACGCGCATGCCCACCTTCCGAAGAACTCTTTCCCGTCTGCTGATCTGGAACATGCAGGACCTTCATTGCAAGAAAACGCACCCGCATCAGTATCAAATGCCGATCTCGGCGCCTTACCTATGGAGATAGACGCAGAACAGGGCTTATCACTGGCGCAGCGGAGGAGCCGACGCATTGGCGTCTCATTGCCGCTCCGTTATAGGCAATATGAGGATGTGCTTCCCCAAGCTCCTCCAAGTGTTCCCTCTGGTTATGCTGCTCTAGCACCAGAGCTTGACGCACATGCCAATACAATGGACTCGTCTACTAGCACTCGTGCGTCTTCGCGAGCTCCCCCTTTCCGTACTGCTAGAAATGTATTCGGGCTGGTATGCCAGTTCTTTTCATCCACCCCCCCTTCTCACGACCCAGAAGAATCGGTCACACTCCAAGATATCAGTTCCGTTCCGGCCGTGGCCTCAACTGAGTCAGATGCTCTCGCAGAGCCTCAAGACATTTCATTCTCCCCCTACCCCAATCGATCCTCTTTTGAGCTGGGTCACTGGTACTGGCATGGAGGCGCGCAGAAGTCCCAGCACAGCTTCAAGGAACTTATTGACATCGTCGGCGATCCGGATTTTAATCCTGACGATATCCGGAGCACGCCATGGGGCAGAATTAACTCACAGCTAGGTGCGACTGTTTACGACAACAAGGGGGAAGAATGGGAGGATGTGGATGCCAGTTGGCACAAAACGCAAGTCAGCATCGAAGTACCTTTTTCTCGAACTGCAGCTCAGCCAGGCCCTCGACCTTACGTCGCGGCCAAATTTCACCATCGGTCTCTCACCTCCGTCATTCGAGAAAAGCTCGCAAATGCTCAGGATGACGAGCTTTTCCACTACGAACCTTACCAGCTGCGATGGAGCGCTCCTCATCTTCCCCGCGAGGTCGACATTCAAGGCGAGCTGTATACCTCACCGGCCTTTATGGACGCCCACCGTGATCTCCTTGAGTCTCCTGGGGAGCCAGGGTGCGATTTACCCCGCGTGATCGTCGCACTGATGTTTTGGTCAGATGCCACGCAACTGACATCATTCGGTAATGCGAAGCTGTGGCCAGTGTACATGTACTTTGGAAATGAATCCAAATACCGTCGTTGTAGGCCATCCTGCAATTTAGGGAACCATGTCGCATATTTTCAAAAGGTACAATGTCCCCCCTGAATTGATATCCTTCTCGCATTCAAGCTTACACATTGGCAGCTTCCGGACACATTTAAGGATTTTGTGGGGACTTACACCAACGGCAAGGGGATTGGCCGTGAATGCACAACGCATTGCCAGCGTGAACTGTTTCAAGCTCAGTGGAAGATTTTACTCGACGAGGAGTTTTTTAGAGGCATATGAGCACGGGATGGTAATTCTCTGCTGTGACGGAGTCAAACACAGGTTTTACCCACGAGTTTTTACCTACTCTGCGGATTACCCTGAAAAGTGAGTCGTGATCATTATCCGTAAGGCATCTAAGCTGACCAAACCAGGGTCCTTGTTGCAACCATTCGGCAGTTGGGAGGCTGTCCTTGCCCTCGCTGTCTCATACCAACCGCGCGGCTTCAGAATCTGGGGATGAGCCGTGATCGGCAACAACGTTCAACGCTGGCGCGGTCCAACGTCTCGAGGAGTCAGCCCGTTGCCACTGCATGCAACCTTATCTACGAAAAAAATCTCGGTGTTGACAGTACGGCAGTCGAAGCACTTCTCAAACCTGATTCGTGGGTGCCGAACTCAGTAAGCATAATCGTCAGTCTCATTTGTCGGCTGAACTAATACTTGATTAGAATGTGCTGTCGGATAATCTTAGTCCATTTGGATTCAATGTGTTTGCAGCGCTTGTCGTCGATCTCCTACACGAGTTTGAGCTGGGAATATGGCGCATGCTTCTAATTCATTTACTGAGAATTCTGACAGCATTGAACAGTGACTTAGTGCATGAGCTTGATAGGAGGTGCTGAATGTATTTCTGATAACGCCTGGGGTACTCATTTCCATATCTGACAGGTACAGGCAGGTCCCCCCATTTGGTCCTGCAACCATTAGGCGATTCTCTGCCAACACCTCCGACATGTCGAACATGGCAGCACGCAACTTCGAAGATCTTCTACAGGTACACCTTTTAATTGTCATATGTTCGTGCGCTAACTTTGTACAAGTGTTCTATTCCAGTTTTTGAAGGCCTCCTCCCCGATGCTCACAACAAAATTCTCCTCGATCTCCTTTTCATTATGGCGCATTGGCATGGACTCGCCAAACTGCGAATGCATTCTGACCTTACCTTGGAGATTCTCGACCAGCAAACCACCGACCTCGGTGAAAAATTCCGACACTTCAAATTGAAGGTATGCACTGCATACTACACACAGGAGCTCAACCGTGAGGTCGACGCGAGATCTCGTCGGCAGGCAAAGGACGTTGCTAGATGCACGGAGAGCAGCATGGCGAATGAAAAGGGGACAGGGGCTAATGCTAAAGGGAAACAGAAGGAGGATCCACGTTTACCAAGGCAACCGAGGAGGAAGAAGTCACTAAATATTCAGACATACAAATTTCATGCGTTGGGCGATTATGTTGCTTCCATTCGTCGCTTCGGCACCACAGACTCATACAGCACAGAACCAGTAAGTCGTGATTTGCTCCCTGTCCGCTCCCCGGCTCAGTTGCTATCAGGGAGAGTTAGAGCACCGAACGCCGAAAGGCAGATACTGTCGAACTGATCGCAGAAACTTTATATGCCAACTGACTCAGATAGAACGCCGTCAAATGCGCTTGCGCCGTATCAAACAACGGAGGCAATACAGGTCCCTCGTGCGCAGGTCGACGAAACTGCAATTGACCCTCAGTTGCACCATCATATTGGACGAAGTGAGAAGAGTTTCGACGAGTTAGGGCATTATCTCCGCAGACATGCGGGAGATCCTGCCATAAAGGTATGACTTTCAGGGGCTTGATCATAATCGTTCTAACGTAAATCACCGAACTTCCTTCCGCGATTGAAGGATCGTATCCTGGACCGCATAGGGTCTCCTGGAATTTCTATGGAGAACTCTGCACATCCTGACCAAGAAAAAAGTTCAATTCTCTTCAAGCACAATAGACTATACCACCACAACCTCGTTAGGTTTAATTATACGACGTACGACGTACGAAGGGCTCAAGACGTGATAAATCCCAGGACCCCCCATCACAACATTATGCTACTCCAGCACGCTGAGGGGCATGATGACAAATATCATTATGCGCGGGTTCTTGGTATCCATCATATTAATGTAGTTCGCTCAGGGAACGTGTACGAGTCCCGCCGAATAGACTTCCTGTTTGTTCGGTGGTATGAAGTCATACAAAGCCATGCATGGGAAACGTGTGCTTTGGGAAGGGTTCGTTTCCTGCCTTTGATGGATCCAAACACATTCGGCTTCGTGGATCCAGGAGCGGTCCTGAGGGCATGCCATATAATTCCGGCATTCTCTCGAGGCCGGCGCAACCTGAACTGTGGTATTTCTTCCCTTTCAGGAGATGAACACGACTGGCTAGAATACTACGTCAACAGGCGAGCAGTCTTATCCATGCGAGTCATATCTACCAAATCCTCATAACTCCACCAGTTTTGCTGATCATGACACACTCATGAGATTCCATTATGGCCTTGGGGTAGGCCACATGTACTCACACAGGGTAGGGACCTTGGACGGTCATAGCTCGGCACGGCAACCTGCCACTCAGACAGCCGCCCATATGGAAGATGAGGATTTTGAGGGCGAAGAAAACTTCGCGGAAAGCGCCCATCCAAGCGACGATGAACAGGATGAGGGCGATGAAGAAGGCCATTACCTTGGTGTTGAAGAATTGAATTTCTTTGAACAAGGAAGGAATGCAAGCACGGAGTCTCTCGTGGAGGCGTTAGACGATATGTTCATGGGCCATGCTTTCGATTACGAAAATTAATTCTTACATTACAGCAATAGAACCCATGTAATCTGATGGGCACGATTCAACAAGTTCAAGATGGCCAATGACTACGATGGCTAACACATAATATTCCCGGAAGGTATTAATGGCCATCGATTGTATCAAGATCGCCAGCAATCATTGGTGGCCATCAATCACAGATTGGCAGCCAGCTGTTACAAACGGCCACCAACTAGCGGTGACGAGAAGTAATGGCCACTACTGATCAGTACCCCATTATACCAACTCTAACTTCTGACCGCTGCTAATGTCTGGCAGGCTTTTTTATTTTACGACCGGCCCTTATTAACCTCTTTAGTTGCCATCAATTCCCTCCTCACCCACCCCACACCGGTCATCACGATGTCTCCAGTATGGTTATACGTACCAGCTATCGGCGAAATTCTTCAGCTCTTTCAGCTCGCCGTAAGTATAGGACTTTGTACAGTGGATTCGCTGATGCGACGACCTTCTCCTTTAGCACGAAGAGGTTTGTCGACATTCATCACCTGTCGTTTCATTTTACCTTTTTACTCTCAGCATCCGTTCATCGCTCTTACTACGGGATCGTATGTCATTGTGGGGTATCTAGCTCATCACCTCCAAGTATCACCTATTTACGTGAGTTTTCCTTCTCGAATGCAAAGGCTTAGTCTCACTGCATTTGTTTGTAGTGCGAAAGGTCCTTCCAAGAGGCCCGGCCTTGGACTGGTCGGCTCACACAACTTGGGTGGCTGATTATTCCTGGAGAGAGGGATACTACCCACCTTCATGAGTTATTCACAGCAACGGTGAGATGTTTGCCGTATTGAACATTTCGTCTTTGAAACGACAGATCTAGTCAACCGGCGGCGCTCATATCAGCGCGATAACCCCTACATACTGTAGGGCCGACGCCAGAGGTGTCCCAATGCCTACTTGGCTTGTGAGTGTTGTACTCAGACCTCGTGCACATCCCTCATTGTGGTACATCTATAGCTCCAAGAGCTGTTGAACGCATCAGTTGAATTCTTCTATGCTCCGTTTCCGGATGGGTATCCACCTCCCGCTCCCACCCCAGCACAACAACTCACATATGAGGCGCTGCCTTTCACTCATTCAAGTGTTCTCGATAATACGCTCTCGGATGTCTTCCTGACTCCCGCTTCTTTTGAACTCACACCCACGGAACTTCAAGAGCTCGATTGTGGCTATAACTACTGGGGGTTGTCCACTATTGCCTCTCTCAATGGTATTGACGATTCAGCCGGGCCCCTTTTGGATGAAATGGGTGAGGATTTCACCGAGGAGCTGGCTCTCCAAGTTTTCCATTCCGACCTACAATGGAGAAAGTCTAGGAGTGGCATATGGACAACCTTGAACAGAAAGCAACGAGACGCCCTCACCCGCGCAATGAAGAGGTCACCTTGGTGGCGGGTCGTGATGCTCACTAGGGCCCTGTTTGTCGCAGGTTTGTGGGTAGGAGAGCACCAAGCTCCGTTTAGGGTTTCTCAGACAGGAAGTACGACATCTGGTGACCAATAGCTTTCTCACCGCGCTTCACCTAGTTCACAAGACTTATGAGGAGATTCTGGAAGAACTAGGTCAGTGCTTTGCATCATAGATCCCACCAGCCGCTATCTTACCAGTTTTATCAGTGAACATCAAATTCGCCAACGGAGAAACCATTGCTGCAGGGTGGCCGGTGTTCCGTGTCAATGTACGCCTTCTCTTTCCTTCGCTTTCTCCTTATTGACGTGAGCAGCTAGCTAAGGCCTTCGATAATTCAAAAGCAGAACTAAGGAAGGTGGTCAAAGGTGCAATGTCACCATACACCAGATTCGTTGCCTCTTGGAATGAGATGATCACGAGGATCACTCACTTTGTGCTTCTTTTCAACTCAGGCAAAAGGGATGATGTACGGGACTCAAGACCGTAGTTACCACACTAGCTCAAAACTTTTCGTTTTTCAGGTGTATCGGGCGATTTCCGAGCTCATCAATGAACAAGTTTTCTTGGAGCTTGTTTGGGCATCGCTCTTTCACCCAATCAGCAAGTTAGCAGATGGACAACATAAGGGCGGCTAGCAGATCTCTTTCCAGAAGAAGTCTTTTCAAACTCCAACTGTCTGGCCCAGAAACCGGTGTGTAATCTGATGACATTGGTAAGTTTGTATTCGCTTCGTGTTTTCTCTTCAAAATAACAGACTGCCGCGCTGATATTTCAGCTCTATCACTCGATGGTTATCATCTTGAAAGAGAAACACACAGGACAGATCGACTACCATGAACCAGAAGACATGAACGAGATTCTCATGTCAGCTCTTGAAGACATGTACTGCCTATCCGCATTTGTTTCCGATATTCACGGAGGCAGTGAAGGCTCTCCCTTTCATAAAGTGCGTCCTTCTTGGTGTGCTGTTTGAGCATACTCATCATGCTCTATCCAGGGCGAGCAATGTCCTTCCCATCGCCCCCAAGACAGGTCTTCCGAGAACCATGACGGAAAGGAATGGGAGCAAGAGATTCAGGAATATGACGGATGTCGTGCCCATCGAAATCCAGCCAATCGGTAATCCGTGCAGTGAAGTTCCAAACAGTGGTGGCTTTAGTTCCACCAAATCTCTGAGATTTGTCTGGGATGTACCCGTTTCATACTTCACGACTCATCCAGCCGCTATACACGTGTAGTAGGTTTTACTAATCGGATGTCTGCTGGTCCTTTCTCGGTTCTTAACCTTGTACTACAAATACGATGTGTTATCGCTACCAATTTCCATGAATCTATGTTTGGCATGTCGTAACGCAGAGAGATGTCTGAGTAAACCTTTAATATTTTAATGAAACGGAGCATAAAAGAATTCAACTGATGCGTTCAACAGCTCTTGGAGCTATAGATGTACCACAATGAGGGAATGCGCATGAGGTCTGAGTACAATATTCACAAGCCAAGTACTGCATAAAGTTGGCTGGTGGCAGATTCAAAGAAACAAAATTGTTTATGTATATTTGTCTTCGTTGATCTGCCCATTGAGTCCAGCAGCCTCATGCTGCCACACTCAAGCCACTGTAACAGAGCCGCACCTATACTCCGCAGTGCAGATGCATTGGCGCTATATTTTACTCCTTGTCTGGTACGCCTATCCTGTTTATACCCACCATTTGTGGTTGAACGCGATCTGTGAGTTCTTCATTGTGTTCTGAGATTGCAAGTCTGACACCTAATGTCATCCCAATAGTATCATATTTATCTTCTTTCTTGATGTAAAACACTTTCATTACCCTGGCGGAATATGTCTGAGCAATGACTTTGAGTGAGAAGTTGAACATGTCGTGGATTTTGACTGACAGTATTCAAGCTCTCTGCAAAGGAGGCTCAAACCGCGTTCCAAGCTCTCTGCAAAGGAGGCTCAAATCGCGTTCCAGGCTCTCTGCAAAGGAGGCTCAAATCGCGTTCCAGGCTCTCTGCAAAGGAGGCTCAAATCGCGTTCCAGGCTCTCTGCAAAGGAGGCTCAAACCGCGTCTCAGGCTCTCCGCAGAGGAGGTTCAAACCGCGTCCCAAGCTCTCTGCAAAGGAGGCTCAAACCGCGTTCCAAGCTCTCTG